TTTTTAAAAAAAAAGGGGTTGTCCCCTTTTTTTGACTTTACGGGTGTAGATGAGTCGGGAGTGTGATCTACGGTTTTTTAAATGCGGGGGGCCCCCTTGTTAGCCATGGGTATAGGTATGGACCGTGGCTTGCCTTCCCGGTTCGAGCCAGTACCACTAAAGACCCGCCGTGTGGGCAGCGATGCGCGTTAAATCTGTCGAGCAAAAAACTCCCCCCGTTGGTGTAGTGTGGTGGTTGGGAAAAGGGGGGTCCGCTCGGGTAAGTCCGGCCAGGGAAAAATTACGTGGTCCCCCCAAAAGAAAACCCTCTGTTGCTGAACAGTGGGGGCTTAATATTAAATCAATCAATCCTGAATTACGGGAAAATTTCCCATATTTCCATCTTTTTTAAAAAACGGAATAAGAATTTTTTTGCCCCTCTTTCCTGAGAAAATATTTGTTATTACTACAACGTTGTTTTTAAAATTTTATTTTTGGTTTTTTAACTTTTCAGATTGTAAAAACCAAATGCGTGGGGATATTTTGCAGAAATTGAAAATAAACTTCTATCAAAACTGTTACATTTTTCAAAATTTTTGCATTGTTTGAAAACTGTGCATACCTCATCGTAACATTATTTTCTTCTCTGCATAAAGTAAAAAAAAAAAAAAATTAATGTTAGTCTTTTTTTTAAAAATTAACTGGTGGAATTTCAAAAAATAGAGCTCGGAAAAAAAGGTAGTTTCTAACAGGATATTTTTGTGTAGTTGCTTTGGAATTTAAAAGGTAAAGTGTAAAAAGTTGCTTTTTGAACCCGAAAAACAAAAACCCCCGATTTAAAAAAAATGGGTTAATTTTTAATGGGTCTGACTGTATTTTATTTAGCGCAAACATTAGGAAAAAATTTTTTTTGGCTTTACACCTTTAAAAATTTTTATTTTTAAAGCGTTAAAATGGATATAAGTTCCACTGGTTCTCCGGTACGGTCCCCCCAAAATTGCGAGCCTTTTAAGTATTTAAATAACAGACAAACGCATTACCATTGACCCTTCATAAGGTGAAACAAAAGGGGGCGAAAAAATGCGGGAAAAATCTCTTTGTACAAACATAATTGAACATAACCTTACAAAAAGGGGCTTTTTCCCAAGAAAAGGGTTAAATATAGTTATTTGCTTTTTATTTGTCGATTTTTCAAAAGTTTGAGTAAAATTAACATTTTTTTTTTTGACCATTTCAAATCATACATACCCATATCATTTGTTTATTTCGTAAGGGGTTTTCTATATTAATCAAACGAAGCAGACACATTTAAAATTTCTTTTCTGTCGCGTCGAAAAAAAGTAGTATCTTTTCCAAAAAAATTTAAAAACTAAATAAGCCCCTTTCAAAGAAGTGGTTGCCCCAAAAGGGGTCAATTAAAAGCTTGCGTGGGTCAGTGTCTGACCCCACTATAAGGGTTTACCATCACTGGTTTGAAATAAACAGAAAGGGACTTCCCCCTTTGAAATTCCCAATATTTTATATATATATATATATAAAAATATATATATATATATATATATATATATATATATAATTTTTTTTTCTTCCCTGTTTTTAATAGTAAAGGGTTAGGTGCGCTGTTTGAGCCCTTCCCTTTAGAAGTGGTCTTGTGGCAACAACCGTCTGTCTTTCTTAAGATTAAAAAATACTATAGTGAAACATTCTTTTGTGTCTTGTTCGTTCTAACTTGTGAACTATGCTATTACTTTAAGTGTTTACGTATGAACTATTCTATTCATATTGAAATATTCTTCAGCATTGAAATATATCAAATAATATCAAATTGAACTTGGACTTTTCATTGAATCAAGCTTCTTTCAACAGACCGGAATTCGAAGCCGATACCTTTATTCTTAGATCACAATTTATTACAGTCCGCTAAATTCGTCGCTAGTGCTAATATACAACTTCTCTGAAGAAGAGGACAGCCGTGTTTAAACCGCGCGAGGACCTTTCGATCTGCAATTGAATGCTCTACCACTGAGCTATACCCTCGTGTCAGCGAACCTTTGATTTCCGTAGGAACGGATTCGAAAATGCTTTGTCTAGAAATATACAGAACGAAACAGATCAGTCCGCCTTCAAAATTAAATATATATATATATATATATATATATATATATATATATATATATATATATATATATATTTCTCTTCACTTGCCTGAAGGAGACACCTTAGTTTGAACCGGGAACCTCTCAATAACCAGCCGAATGCTCTACCTTTGAGTAGCTTCTCTGATGCATTTGTTTGAACACTTTTTGTTATTAAACCAAACATACTTAAAGGAAATTAAAAAAAAATAGTAAATTAATTTTTAAATTGCGTTTCATGTACATAAAACATAAGAGTAAATATTAGTTTACCTATTTAAATAACAATTCCAAGTATATGATTATAGATGTGTTTACTACGAACGCAATGCAATGAGCATAAACACATTTACTACATTGTAGCAAATTATAAGAACCTTTTGTATTCATTTATTTATTTTTGAAGTTTTCCTTCTTTTTGGGCGTTACGGAAAAAGGATGAGGGTAAATTTTTACGATTTTAAATTTTTACCTTAACGTCACCGATGCTCGCGCGCACACTTTTGTTTAATATATAACATGCCACTTTTTTTGTTCTATGAGACTGATATTTGGGGGATCATAATAACTATTTCTATAAACTATATCTGTTGGGATGCACCCCCCTGTGCATTCCCCCATCTACAGCCTTTTGGCCAATATCTCGGCATACGAGCCTCACAGTCCATTGGGACCTGACTCATTCGATCCCTCTCTATCTGTTCTTCCAGTTATTATAAGTTCATGCTCATATGGCTATTTCTTCCATAGTTTTTAATTGTCTTAAACTTTTTGAATTTTTTTGAAATTCACAATATCTTGGCTCCTGTTCGAGTCTCGGACTTGAGATTTGAACCAAGTGTTCCACTCGGTTCAAATCGGTTCCCATCCAGTCATCTGCTTCATTCCCATTGTGTAGGCATGAGAAGGGCTTAAGCACTAAAATATCATGCTCCCATGTTAATCCTATGTGGACTGGAAAAAAATGTCACCCCTACAGGATTGAGCTTGGAACTTGATATTTGGAGGTCCACCATATTAGTATTTAATACTAATATATATATATATTTAAGGCTCTTTTTTATCAGTTATTGCAAGGGTTGTTTTTCTAGTAAATATTTAAAATTTCTTAAGCAATATTTAATTGTATAGGAACATTTAAATAAATACATATATATATATTCTAATGGATAATTTTTCTCGAGTTAAGAATTTTAAGCAAGTATATTCATAAGATATGTTAAACACAACACATACTTAACCCACGATCACTCGCGCGGGGTTTTCTGTACACCCCAGCAACAAGAAAATCCTCCCAGGATTCTAAAAAAGGATGCGCAGAACCACGATTTTTTCTGTAGCTGCACATTTTAGGTCATTGAACCTTCACGCCTGATGCAATCCCTCTGTCTGGAGCGATTGGAATGTAATGACCTTCAAAAGTTTATGTGGGGGACTGAAAACTCCCGCGAGATTTTGATGATTTGTATACAGTCTGCTCTGAATGTTTGGAAAATGATTAAAATATTACTTTTCTAACTTTCTACTATCATTATCTCATTAATTATAAAGTATATTTATTACTGGTATATACGTTTTATATACAGGTTTATGAAAAAATATAAAATTATGTGTTTTAAAATGAACATTTTGTATGTTTAGTTTAAAGTAATAAAAAATAGTCTCATTTGTATGCAATAAATTTAATAATTTTATTTGTATAATACAAAAAACATCTTGTACCTTATAAATATGTACTATAATGACTTAATTTTATTTTCATAATTAAATACACGTGTTAAAAGTTTGGGGTGTTTTCTACACCCGCAGAAACTGACTTAGAAAAAACAGGCGCGAGTAACCGCGGGTTAAGGTTATTTTGCATTGAACTCTAGTTCTCAGTTCAGTGTATGGGAGAGAGAATTAATTTCAGTTGCAAAAGTTCCGAATATTGACACAAGTTTCGATCAGTTGCAATAGTTTAAAGTTGTGACACTGGACAAGGATTTAAAAAGGGCTTATGTAAAAAAGCGAATAATAGTAAAAAGTGTGATTCTTTCAAAAATATTATGCAATACAGCTCAAATTGTCAACACAGCAATCCTTGCTCTAATAAATAATGAAAAATATAAATTCAAGATATTTCATAAAATTTAATATTTTCTTACTTTTTTGTTTGAAAAAGTTTACATAATGCTTTTATGAAGCAACAGTTTTTCTCCCCAACACTTAGCTTTTTTTTTATAATATTTAAATATAACTATTTCTGTATGGACGCAACATATATACTTTTTTTCCCTTTTTGTTTAATTAATATTAGCAATAAGAGCAATACTAAATTTATCACCGGCTTTCCTTATTATTTATCAATTAATCATCCGCAATAGGGATAAAATGTACTTTTTGAAAGATTTTAGCTATTTATAATCAATTAATTTGTAAAATAACATTAAAACTGTTTATTTTTCTTTAATGGTCTATCATTAGTTACTTCATAGAATAGCTAGCTAAAGTATGAAATATTTCATCTATTGTATGCTTTAACTTAAGTCTAGTTATTTCATGAAATACTTATAGTTATTCCATGAAATAACTGAGCTACACGCTTTAAAGGTAACATAAATATTAAAAAGGATTATTATTACTGAGCCTTACCGATTGAAGTTTTTACAAAAATCAAATTATTTTTCGGAGTTTTTTCTTAATATAGAAAAGTTCATTTTAGGCATTTAGAAAAATATTTATAAAACCCTCAAAACTAAAGTTTTTTCTTAATTCTTCTGCTTTGTAAAAATTAAAAACGTGTACTATTTATATTTCTTTCAAGAAGCAATTTTTTATATTCATCCTACCAATATGATTATCTTAATTTAGAAGTGACTAGTTTTAAAAAAAAAAAGTGTGTGTGTACTTATGTATGCACGTAAGAAGTTATACTTCTTTGGCGTAACAAGATAAAAATCTTTCTAAAATCTTTTAGCATGGAAAGCTGGGCCACGGACGAAAGGCTGTCACGAGCAGAGTTGAACGATACTAACCTTCA